TACATTGCTTGGCCGACGGCACCCTGAGGAGGCCCGCTCTGTGGGAGCGTACCGGTCTATGGGAGGGAATCTGTGGCAGAAGGCGGTCTCGGAGGTAGCCAGGTCCGATGCCATGGATCGCTTTAAAGGTGGTAACTAACACCTTAAAGCGCACCCGGAAGACCACTGGTAACCAGTGCAGCTCACGCAGCAGCGGTGTCACATGGGAGCGACGAGTCCCTCCCAACACCAGGTTGCCTTGAAGATGTCCTAAACAAAAGTTAGTTTAGAAGGTACATCAAATTGGAAGAAAGCATACTGATAACGAGTGTCTTTGGTCCCAGGGCTAGAAAATTACTTGCACACTTGCTACCAGGACCAATGTTTGTCTGGGAAGACTTCAGATGGCGAAATCTGAAAAATATGAGGCTGAGGGCGTAGTAGATTTTTGTTTTTCTGTTGGCTGGTGTTCCAAATTCATGGTTAGATGTGGACTTTGCTTGAGTCAGTGAAATAAAGTTTCTCAAGTGCTACCCAAAATTCTTGAAGAAAAGGTTTCCTTTGAAAAAAATATTCTTAAACAACGTTAAGCATCATAGGTACAAACTTGATGATATTAGAATATGAACAAAACTGATGGTAATTTGATTACAATCGACAAGTATTGGCAAAAAAACAATTTTTGTTAGGACATCGGAAAATTAAAAGAATAATTTTAATGTGGTTCTTTCATGTTTAACAAGTGGAACTAAAATACATCCAGATACTATTTTTAAGTGAAAAAAGCTCCTAAAGCGAGCAAGCAAAATCTCTCTCCCCCCCCTCTCTCTCACCCCCCCCACCCCCCCCCACCCCCCATGAAAAGCTTTGGATGGACAAGTATGGTATAAGACGGTAGCTTGAGAATGTTTGGGACAAATGGCTGGATCCTCCTGCTTTCAAGAAGAAATCTTCCTTTCTCATCTGGGACATGTTTAGAGTGCATATCACAAACAATATTTGGCATGGCCATGTTAAGGAAGGGCACATTTTAAAGAACTAAATATAGAGGTGATCGAAAAATAGGTGAATGATACATGGGAAAATATTTCTTTGGATATGGTTTGCCATTCATGTTTGAAGTGTGGCATCAGCAATGCCATGGATAGAACCGAAGATGATGCAATATATGAAGATGACAGAGCAGATGCCAGTGATGAAGATGAAGGTGAGGAAGATAGTGATGATGTATTACAAAGGAAGAATATGAATATCTTTTTGCATAATAAGGTGAGGATGATGCGGATTTTTAAAGATTTTGATAATTTTTGTATGATTTTTCAGCAAATTCTGAAGGACTTCATTTGTTTTCATATTTTCTATCAACGTTTGTTTTCTAAATCAGATTCCATTTTAAATATGACAATTGGGTTGTTCTGGATGACATATTTTTCATGGTAGATATTTTGGTTGCAATTTTGAGGGTCAGTTTATCCTCATATATATGGTATGAAAAAAGATTTTTTGGGCAAAGATGTGTGCATTTTTAGATGTGGTTTTTAACAGAAGTTACAAATTACTGCAGAAATAAAATTGAAGAAACTTAAGACAGGAGTAATGAGGCAGAAATCGCTACATTAAATTCTCTCTGAACCTATTTATTATATAATAGAAAATGGTCTTCCATTAGACCATCTTCCAGTGGTCTTCAGCTTTCAGACAATGAATATCCAGAAAGAAGACTAGCAGGAGTCAATGAGATGGTCAGCATGAAGAGAAGTCTCTGCTTTCTGCTTTTTGAATATGCTCTGTAGATTCTTTCTTCATTCCATTTTTTATAAGATTGCTAATAGTTTACCCTTCCTTTTGTTTGTGTTTTCCTGCCAAGAAATAAAGGGGAAAAAATTCTAAAAAGTGATCCTGATATTTTTCTTGTCAGGATATGCAGGTATAGATTTCAAACACTTGAAATTTTAGGAATTGTTTGGTATCTTTCATTTCCTATTTGGGCACTGGAATGGTAATTTTCTGTGATAAATATTCTCATGATTGTAGAGATTATAAAGACGTGCTGATTGCTTTATTATGACTCAGATCACTATTCGGGCAGAAATTATTTTCTCCCCTTTAGAGAATTTTTTTTATGTAGTACATGCATGGAGTTTGGTTGCCAAGGATAAACATAATATAGAAACATAAACTCAATTGGAGTAAAACCTGAAAGAAACTCTGATGCATTGGAAGCTCATTAATTTCTTTATAGTAAAAAGAAGGATCATTTTTCTCTAAATCGTGTTTTCTTTTTTTAAAAAAGGCTGCTGCAGACTATCTGATTTTCATTTTACTGACTTGTGTTTCTTTTAGTGCAAATTTATAATTTCAGTTTGTGATTTGAAACAGTAATTGTGTTGTAAACTGGAGAGAGACTGAACAGTATAATGCAAGTCTGACAATCCATTCTTTAAGTAGAATAATAGCTGAAATTCTTCATGATTAGAAATACAGTATCAACATAATCGATTTAACAACATTACACTGTAGCTGAAAATAGACTGAAATCCCAAGCCAGGCATCCACCGTGTCTGAGTGAAACATCTTTCATATGGTTCTAAGATGAAATTACTCCTGAATGAATAGCATCTTCATTTATCTTCAAAGCCTCCTCTGTGGTACCAGTGAACGTACTCTTCACACATTCTACAGCAGGAATTACATTACAGCAGCATTCCAGGGTAGTATAAAACTGATTGTTCTGGAAAATGAACCTGGCTTTGCAATAAATTACATTTGCAGGTACAAAAGAACGTGTTACTTTGTTTAAAGTAGTCACAAATACAATTAAACTCTTAATTTATGTTAAACTACAAATGTGGCTATTATCATAACTGCATTAGGCATATACTCTATCATTCCAAGAATGATATTGAACCATTTTCATTTATAATTTTAGACAGACGTTGCAATTTACAGCATCTGCCACCGCTTGATAGGAAAACTGGAATATTCATGTATAATTTCCACTTTTTTTTCCCAGTTGTCATTTTTTTAATGAAAGAAAATGCAGATCCCCTTCAGTGTCTGCATATTGACATTCTCTACAGCCGTATTTTAAATATTAATCATTAAAATACTACTAGAACTGGCTTTGATTTATTTATAAGATTAATAATATGCAGTTCCAGAAAAGCCTTGGTATTACTCACAATATCTGAGCTTGGACTCTTTGTTCATACTTTATGGAAATCTCCCCTCTTCATGTTCCTTTGTGGGAATAGGTTTATGGAAATTTTGCTTGTCTGGAATGGGTATTCTATTGTGGGTGGAAGAACCTGAGAATCAAAGCAAAAGGTTTATTAAGGAGAAATGCTTTTCCCTGTTTGCCTTTTCCTAGCTTTGATATGTTTTGGAAGTTAACCACTCTTGTCTGTTTACAGAGCTGACCTTTTTAGAGGCTCAAACACCTTAAGACTTGCTTTTTTAGGAGTGAGAAATTTCTAAACAGAGATGGGCACCAGGGACCGGTTCTGTGGAGAAAAGATTTTTCTGCAAACCAGAGGGGGCATGGTTTCGTCTGCTGCCTATATCCAGCAGATGGGGCTTCACTTGTTTGCGTGGCCTGGTTGCTGGTATGCCACGGACTGGTGCCGGTCCACGGACTGTGGGTTGGTTACCTCTGTTCTAGGGGATCCTTACCTATAGTTTGAGCTCCTAAGCTTCTAGTCCATTAGGAGAGCCAGGATTTATTTTTCAGTCAGCTCAGGTCTGTATAATGCAAGGTACAAATATGGCAGCTTTATGTGCTGTAGACTGGATACTTTTAATGTTTGATTAAAGTTAGCAGAAGGACAACAGAATGGCATCTTTTTAAAAATATGAAGTGGGCTACACTTTAATTTGCGGTCTAAGCTCCATGAAAAATCAGTATTGTAGCAGAGTTCATTGATTTATTTTAAAACTACAATAATTATTACTGCCAAAATGGAATTTAAGGGGTTTTTTTTTTGGTGTGGTTTCTTTTTTTAGAGAGAGGTTATCACAGTAAAGTACAAGAAAATGAATAAAGGAGATGCTGTATGTTTTAGATTTCTATTCTCTGTTCATTTATAGTTGCGTCTAGAGTGATGAATTTGTGATAAGTGCAGTGTTAGAAGCTAGTACCTAGAAGTATAGTTCTTCTAATCTGTTTGGGGAAATAATTATAAATAAAAGAATATATCTTGTGGCTTAGAATTACAAATATTAAAAAAACGTTTTCCCTTCATGTAATGTGGAAAATTTTAATTTACTCTTCTTTATTTTCAGGCTTTTTTACAAATGTGCAATCTGCCAGTCCAGGTGGTTTGTAGGGCAAATGCAGAATATATGTCCCCATCTGGTAAGTGTACCAATCATTTACACTACACCTGTGCTTGGAAACTATGGCAACAGTATCTCATCTTGGAGATCGGTTGGAGTTACTGTATGCTGCACTATGCAGTAGCTTGTTTCTTGTTGTGCTACAGATTTTTTTTCTTGCAAGAAACAGAAATAATACCTTTTCATCATTAAACTGCATTAAAGGGCAGTGCTGTAAGGCTAAGGTAAACATATTGCTAACAATTCTGTGTGTTTAAGTGTGAACTGCCTCGGTCATGATGGAAGTAGATGGAAGAGCCTGGTTTTAACATTAGATGAGAAGAGATGACCTGTCTTCTTTCTTACATTCTACCTTTGAGCAGCTTTTCCCTTTAATACCCTAACAAAGATTACTTTACAGAATTGAGCTCTCAGAAAGATTGAAGAGAGAGGGCCCAGATGGAGGTAACCAATCATTGTACATGTCCTCATGTACCCCTTTCAGGTTTTACAAACAGGTTCTCTTAAACATCCTCTTCTAATTTGGGGCAATTCTATATGCAAATATACAGGGCTGCTGCTGTGCTCTCTCATTTGATTCATTATGCACTAAAGTAGCATTTTTTTTGTTATTCATACATTTGATGCTTATTATCTATTGAAGGGGCATGTTCAGAAAGGAGTTTCCCACACTTCCTACATGAAGAGTAGGACTACCATATCTGGCTTGCAAAATCCAGGCAACCGCTAAATGTCAGCAAAGAGATAATGAAAAATGTAACTCTTTGCTTCCATCTAGAGGTCACCCAGATCTTTGCAGAGGAAATGAGGTAGCATACCTGCATACTCACATGCAGACATACTTTCCTCATTACAGGAAACAAGATGTGTCTGGAGTGGGCACAGCTGGGCTTGTTAACAATGAAATCTGTGCAGGCTAAAAGATGCTTCAATTGAGTATTGTGGGACTGAATTCACTGAGACTTATTTTCCTAAATTTCATCGTCTGGGCATGTCCCCTTATGGCCTCGAACTATTGGGAATATGTACATTGCTTTCTATGAAGATAGCCTGCTAATTAGCCAATAATGTGGTGAGTTCTTATTCCCCATTAGCTGTGGTAAAAAGAAATATCTAAATAAAGCAAAATTCAATGTTAATGGGAATATTTTTCCCCCCAGTTTTTGAGTTGGCAGGTTGAAAGCATTTCCTGCTGCCTACCGCAAAAGCCTTTTTATCATGCATTATCATATGCATGCTTTGCTATAAATTAGTGCTTGGATAAATGGAGCTTCTGTGAACAACCGTGTAGCAGAAATTGTGGCCCTAATTCTACAAGGTTAAAATTTAGAACCATGAATGCATTTTCCTCTTTTTATGGGATTCCACATTTGAAGACAGCTTGCTTGGCACTGCTCTCTTTCTCTCCATCTGTTAATAAGAGAGCACTTAACGCGCACCTTGTGAGAGCACTGATATGCTGACTCTTGCTGTAGGAACACCAAAAGCTCATTCTGTATATATAGTAGTTCCGTGGAAGCAAAAGCTTGATTGATAGGACCATGGAGAGGTCTGGAAGTTCAAAAGGCCCTGCATTCCTTTTGCAGTTTATGTCATTGTGCAGAGAGCCTTGCTTGCAATTCCCTTTTTGAACCAGTCTAACTGTCAGTGACCAAGATCTTTTTGGTTTATTTTTTGATTTATTTCAGTAAAAATAAAAGCAAGAATATTCCGAATATTCTTTGTACAGCGTGTAACCTTCACAGTTATTTGTGTAGTCCTCCAATGAAGAGACTGATAAAATTTCACAGCAAGAAGTTTTAGGATTATAGCCTTTCAGTGCAAACAAAGGGACACCAGGCTACCTACCTCACTGCTTGTCAATTTCTGATGAGGTGTCACTAAGGTATGAGCACAGAGTTAGCACAGATAATTAGCTTTATTAGAATTATAGTAGGGTGATAGTTATAGTTAGGTCAAATGTCATAAAAGAGTGTGCAAACTTATGAACTTTTCAGGACTTTTTATTGGGGTACAGTAAGAAGTAGAGAAAGGTAAAAATTAGGTTACTATAGGCACTTTAGCCTGAAGTTTTCAGTCTGTCTCAAAACGAAAATTGTACATTTCATAGAAAAAATGAGTAATGGATATCAGATTATATCTAGTAGTCTTGAATAAAAAGTGCTAGTGACCCGTCTTTCCCTCCTTTTTGAAAACAGAAAGACTGGCTGGATCACCAGTGCATATTCATGAATGCTGTTCATGGATATTATTTTTTTAAAACTCTGTATCTTTTATATTCTACATAATTTCTGTGAAACTGACACAGTATTATATGTTAAAGCCCAGCAACCTTAGCATTTATTTTAGTATTTGGAACAAATACCGAGTGGCAGTATTTTGTGACATTTGTTTCAACAATCTTTGATTAGTTGTTAATGTACTGCGTTGAGGCTAGTTGATTTTAAAATTACATCTTTCTCCACCTCTGGAAGAAATATGGTCAATTTTTTGGTCAATTGATGGTGTAGATTCATACCAAAACAAAATACACATGCTTGTGCATGTGTGTGCATGTGTAGTAGCCTTTCTGTTAATAAATGGTGCTCAGGGTAGTTATATTCTTGATTATGCATCCTCAAACAGGAAAAGATTTTTGTACTTTGGGGGCTTTAGTTTACAAGAAAATCAAAAGTAACTGTGTAGAAACCTTTACAAACAAATGTGGCCTGATATAAACTGTCCAACCCCAGTAACTCTTCTGTGTGAATAAGAAGCACTTGTGTGCTATCCAGAATTCCCTGGATGGAGAAGGCTAGATTTTTAGGAAGAGCTGAGGTTTAAATGAGATCAACCAACTCACACCACTGTGTGAATTTTTTTTAATTACACATGTTTTTTTATTGTTCCATTATTTTTCCCCTCCCCTAACAACTAATTGTATTACACTGCTTTTTCGTTTACTATAATTTTGATGAGAGGAGGACAGTAGTATTTGGGTTTCACATTCAGGAGAGGATCAACTTCTTTTGCCTAGAACCAATACTATAATCCTATGTTTTCATACATCTTTCAAAACAAATACACAAACACAAAACTAAAATCTCAGTTTCAGTGGATCCCTGTTCTTATAGTTCTGGTTTAGAATGATAGGTTGGTGATGAATGTTGAAATATATTCTTCTTTTTACCCACAGGAAAAGTGCCCTTTATTCATGTAGGAAATCAAGTAGTTTCAGAACTTGGCCCCATTGTCCAGTTTGTAAAAGCCAAGGTAATGTTGTATATATTTAAAAAAACGATATAATACCTATTCAGTAGTTTTAATTATTTGTTTATGAAATTATCCTGGCGATTTGATAAAATCATAGCTTTGAAAATAAAATAGCTTATTCTTTCAGAAAATACTGCATTAATAAATAACCTTTAAAATGTTATCCAATTCAGTGGGTTACTTTTCTGCTGAGTGCTTATGGGTATAGAGATTTGTACATTTCTATCTATCATTATTGGGCTGAACTCTTTTCTTTTGTACAAACAACATTCTGTACAATATTCATCTTTCTTTCTATACATGTCAATATTATTTATTTATTTAGATAGTACACAACTATGTATTACCCAAGAATGTCAGAAAGAACAACTGCATCTGCCTTGCCTCATCATGATGTCTTCTAGTTGTATTTAAGTTGCAGCTCCATGATCTCCCCAGTTAGCAGATATGGGAGCCTTAAATTGAAACACGTTTAAATGATAATTACTGTAAAGTCTCCTTTGAATAGAGTTCAACTGGTGATGTAATGCACTTGCCCCTGTAATTTTCCTCGCAACAATACAGAAGGAACATATAATTGTCTTTTGGAATTTTTTTTCCTATACTTCCCAATCTAACCTATAGGATTGGCATTTCTTGGTAATTTCCCACCAGGGACTAATACCAGATCCAATCCTAGCTATTCAGGATAAGAAACTGGTGTTGTTGGGCCATCTTCTGAAGATGAAATTTGTGTAATGTAGGTTTCTGGCTGCGTTGTAATTGCTGATGTTTAGGTCTTCATGTTGGCATGAGAAAGAAAGGAATTTTCTTTCTTCAGTTACTTGTATGCTCTGAAACTATCTTGGGAGTGTGATCAGGTTTCAAGAAAGTGAGGGAGATGGCAGGATATCCATAAGGAAGAGGGAATGAACATAATGCTTCTTCCAGTAGGACCTTTCAGCCAAATCCATGTTTCTTTCATTTTGAAGCAAATGATACGAACCCAAACATTCTGGGGTTCATACATGGTAATAATACGCATCATTTGAATATCTAAATATTTTCTGTTGCTTAAATTTTCCATACATTTAGGATGTATATGTGTATGTATAATTTTGATTTTAGGCGAGCAACTTTTCCTTCCTTCTTTCCATCTTCCAAATTTACTGATTCATGTGGCCTTAAAAGCCAATTCCATAACTGAACTGATTAATAAATTGACTTTTATTTTTACCTTTTTTCCAATATTCTTTTCTCAGAGTTTTTTTTTTTGTTTATTCTGTAATACAGTACTACGATGCAATGTTATAGTATCAACTTATTCATTAATTGTTTTCAGTTGATGTACGGTAGATAGAAATTTATAAACTAATTACATGGTAATTAAATGGGGAAAAGCTAAATTATAGCTTGAGTCTAGCATTTGTCTAGTGTAAACAGATTTCTGATTACGTATTCAGATACAGCAAGGCTTCAACGGTAACTACCTAAAGAATTTTCAATTGATTCAGCTGAGTCAAATCCTTTTTAGATGATTTTTTTTTTTGCCAATTATAATGGTTTAGATGTCTCTTTGAAAGGGCTTCCATTTATTTTTCAAATTGTTTTTCTGTATGTCTTGGCTCTATAGGAAGAGGCCTGAGCTGTCCAAAGCCCTTTGGATCCTGTCCTACATCTAAGATAGGGTAGGCATCACCTCGGTGCCCTCCAGAGGGTTTGGATTGTAGCTTTGATCGTTTCAGAACCTTGGCCATGCCTGCTGTGGCTTTTGAAATTAAGATATATTTTTTTTTAAAAAAAAAAGTGCACTACCAAGTTGCCTATTCCCGATTGCTGCATGCTCTGTCTGCTATCTTGGCTGTTGCCAAGAAATAATGTTGCACTTAGTTCTTGGCTTTTGCAATCTACTACATAGAGAACACTTTGTTTAAATCTTAAAAAATTCCAAATAATCAATATTTATGCTTACTCTTGCTTCTTTCTTTAGTCTCGTAAATCGATACCCATGCATCGTATTTTAATAAGGTATTTACATCATCATAACTAACTTCAGTTTATTTACAAAGATGTCGTATTTATAAAAACCACTCAGCAGAAAAGCAAAGCAAAGGTCTGTAGCTGGAAAGTTCTGTTTACTGATCACTCTGTACTTTTCTATTTAAAAGATTTCACTTCAATATTCCCCCACCCCATGCCCAGAGCCTTTAATAGTCTTTGAGATCTACAAAGCTGCCTCTTATGTGTAATGTTGCAAAGGATTGTTTTGAATGAAAGAAAGCCCTGGACTTCAGTAAAGTTTGGAAAGAACCCAAATAGATGATTTTTGTTCTCCTTTCTCTTTCCTTCCTTCTCTCCTGCCTTAGGGCCATTCACTTAGTGATGGGTTGGATGAAGTCCAAAAAGCTGAGATGAAAGCCTACATGGAATTAGTCAATAATATGCTTTTGACAGCGGAGGTATGGCAAAACACTAGTAATTTGTCAGTCTTGGGAAATGAATTATATTGAAGAGGGGGAGCAAAATGCTATTTTCTTTGTAATATTGCAAGCCACAGCTACCATTTGTGTATAAGACAAAAAAAAGGTGTACTTATGATTAACAGTGCTTCTCAAAAAGCAGCACACTTTTATGTGCACTTCACAATCCTTTTCAGATTATTTTTTGGTGCATTGAAATATTGTATTGGCTTCGTGATAAACCTAGTAGCCGTATTTATGTGTTTTAAATATTATTAATGGCTTGTTTGGTAGAGCTAGGAGAGAAAGCTGCAAGGAATAAATGACTGTGTAACCTTCTCTGTTATGAAGTTTAGTATTCTTTGGTTTCTAGCTGTATCTTCAGTGGTGTGATGATGCTACAGTCCAGGAGGTGAGTGATTCTGCAGCATACATCTTAATTAAATTTTAATGAGAAAACACTTTTGCTCACAATTGCAAGTCCCTACTCATAAATGAAACATAGAGGTTTAAACCACTAATGATACCATTTTTTTTTTTTGCTTTAATTTTGCTTGCATATACATTTCGGGTTACTCTATGTCATTATTGGACGTGCTAGTTTTAAAGTGAAAATTTTTTTAATATAATTTTAAAGGCTTGCTTTTGTAGCTGCAAGTTATAAATAATTGCATAGACTAGGTTCTGAGGTAGAGCCACAGCAATAAAATTATAGTTAGTCTAGTCTTTTCTAAAACACAGCTTTCTCAGTTATATAAGAAGACAAAAATCCTTTTTTCCCCCCCCCTTTAAAGATCACTCATCCAAGATATGGTTCTCCTTATCCTTGGCCTCTGAATCGCATTTTGGCCTATCAGAAGCAATGGGAGGTGCAGCGTAAAATGAAGGCTATTGGCTGGGGCAATAAGTCACTTGATCAGGTCAGTCATTAATTCCCCAAGTCTGATTTTTTTCCCCCTAGAAAATGCAAAATGTAAAGTTTCAGGGAAGCACTGATTTCTTTGTATCTTCTTGGTAAATTAAATAAAAACTAGCCTCTGTTGTCTCTGATATGAGATGATAGTTTTACTATGGGATATATTTTGATTTGCTAGATATATTTTTAATTTGTTTTTATAATACAGTATGTTAGGGGACTGGAGGCTAAAACATACAGTATGTTAGGGGACTGGAATTGGGTATGTCTAGTTTAATGAAGAGAAGGACTAGGGGTGACATGATAGCAGTGTTCCAATATCTCAGGGGTTGCCACAAAGAAGAGGGAGTCAAGCTATTCTCCAAAGCACCTGAAGGCAGGACAAGAAGCAATTGATGGAAACTTCAAAATCTAAGGGATTGGTTTGGACAAAACTCAGCAGCACTTTTTCGTGCGGCTGCTGATAAAAACAGGATTGCCAACATGATCGCCAACGTCCGATAACGGATATGGCACAAGAAGAAGTATGTTTATAACAAAATAGGATACTTAAATGGCCAGAATATAAGCTGTTATTTAGGGCTTTAAAAGTTAAGATCAATATGTTGAAAAAAATGGCATCCAGTATAAACCTTTCAATATTTGAATAATAGGATCATAGTACTCGGCATTGGATGGTTAGCTATCAGTAGAAGTTAGTATTAGGTGAATGCTCTCAGGTATGTACATCAGGGTTATTTTTTAACAGCAACTGCTATCAGATATTATTCTAGAGGTCCTTTTAATTTTTGCATGAAGATTTCTTGAAAGAAGCTGGCGAACACCCCCAAATGTGCACAAAAATTATATATGAGGTCATTTGTATAGGTTTCTCTCTGGGTTGAATCTAAGTGCTTGATATGGAAACATGGTAATTATATTGACTATTCCTGTTTGATTTTTAACAGGTACAAATACATCATTTTTGCATTTAAAGGGTAAAGAATAAAAGATCATAGGGGAAGGACAAGAACTTTGTGGACAAATATTGTTAAAAATCTCATGCGTGTGATGTATTTTTAACTAGAGCTTTAATTAATTAAAATTATTTTCTGCTCTTTCGTGATATCTGTGTTCTTTTTAGATACTTGAAGATGTAGATCAGTGTTGTCAAGCACTTTCTGAAAGGCTTGGGACACAACTGTATTTCTTCAATAAGAAGTAAGTTATTTGAATTAAAAGTTCTGCTAAGAAGAAGACTTTCCCCAGTGATGGGGAGAAGAAGTTTTTCCTGCTGTAATTTCTTTTCTTTTTTTTATAGATTAAATAAAAAAACTCTTCTCTTTTTCCACCTTTTGGTAAAAAGGGCATCATAGTAACTGCCTATTGGTCGAAGAGCCAAGAATCAGGAAACAGCCTCTTTCTGTATTTCTTAATTTATGAGTGAAGGAATGGCTAGATTACCTCTGGGCAACTTGACAGAGCCACAGGAGGAGGCAAGGAGGAACATCCAGGAAGGTTAATGGGATCAAGTTAGAAAGCACTATGAAGAATTTCAGTGAAATGAGTTTCCAAAGAAGTTTCTAAAAAATTGATTTTTGTCTAAATCAACACACTCTAAAATCTAGGTTTAGAGTAAAGAAATGCTACCACCGCAAGTTTATTTCCATTCTAAGTTATTCTTTGATTATATCCCTCAGTAATATGTTTTAAAAATAGTATTTAATTCATATTTTCAGTGCTTTGATCATTTGAACTGATACCAATTCCATTCTCTCAAAATATCTTGGTTGATTGTGTGTGTGTGTGTGTGTGTGTGAGAGAGAGAGAGAGAGAGAGGGTGGGGGGGAGAGAGACTTTTTACATTCACTTATATTAACATTAAGCTTGAAGGCAGTCTACTTTCTGATCCTCAGATTAAAAGGATAGAACTCAGAAAACAAAAACTCAAGATCATTGCTGTTGAGCAGTGACTGGGTGCTTAGATGCCAAATCTATTTTTTTTGGCCTTTATTAATATCCCTCCGGCCCACCAATTTCTTCATTATTAGGGTAGGCATGATGGCTGTGTTTGGTGAAGCATTTGTATGCTTTTTTATCACTGTGGTAGTTTTCAAGCCATAAACTGGCAACCTTCTGTCACCACCTTAAGGAAGAGAGGTGGAAGAAAGGCAGTTGATTGCATTTTCTCCTCAAAATGGAAAGATCAAGATATTATGCAGTGGTCTGGATATACAATTGGCACTAATGGATAATGTGACTTGCAATGGTTCTCTCATTCAACATACCAGTTTTCTTTTGTTCATAGGCCAACCGAATTAGATGCTTTGGTATTTGGACATCTGTTCACAATCCTTACTACCCAGTTGATCAGCGATGAACTGTCAGAAAAAGTGAAAGGCTACAGTAACCTCACTGCATTTTGCAGAAGAATAGAACAACACTACTTTGAAGGTCGAAGTTAAGACTGCCCAATGTTCCTTCTCCAAACTGTCTTTGATAAACAGAATGCTTATGATGATAGTAATAATAAAATTAATATTTTGCCTGTGCTTGTTTGGTTTTAAAAAAATTAGTAGCACAGATTTGAAAATTGGGTTTAGTTCACAATCTGAGTCAGCTACGCCAAAACTGTTGTAGCCCAAAAGAATCTATCTGTGATGAATCCAAGAAACCTGCTGTATTTAAAACAAAATTTGAGATTTTTACATTATACATGTCTGTGTGCCATTTTAATATTCTTTTGAAGTGACCTTGAAACAATATTGTGTCAAGATGTAAAACTATTAATAAAGTTTAGATAATTCTATAAGTGTTTTTCTTAATATTTTTAACTGCCTATACATGTTACATTCTTATAATTATTTGCACTACATCCATTGAACTACTAAGTTGGGATTATGGTTAAAGGTAACCATGTACAATGTTTATATAAATAAAATTTGTATTTTTATCCAGCTATATAAGCAGAATTCTCTTATCTGATTAAACAGTATTTAAAATATTAACAGTGAATTGCATGAAAAATTACACATAACGCAGAACCTGTAAAATGTATTATAGTAAATATGTGAAAATAATAAAATATGAAATTATTCATATTTTTAATCATTCATAATTCTGGAGATAAAGTCAGTCTGAATAAATCCCATGTTTTTGAATTGGTTCTCTTTCTTAGTTACATGTCTTCGAGTGTCTGCTCAGGTCATCTGAAGATATTTGTCCCACCTTATCTTTTCATATCCTGTGAAGACAAAAGGTTGTTTATTTATTTTAAAAGCTATTAATTAGAACCTGTATTTAAATTATTTTTCAAATATAGCAAAAATGAATTGAATTCAAAATTAGCTGTTCTCTGGCTTTTTCCAACTCATTTGATCAGTTGAAAACAAAGACTATGAAAAAGGAATATTCTTGCATAATAACAATAACAATAAAAAGTTGGAAGGTCTTCTAGTCCAACCCCCTGCTCAGGTAGGAAACCCTATACCATTTCAGGCAAATGGCTGTCCAGTCTCTTCTTTAAAACTTCCAGTGTTGGAGCATTTACAATTTCTGGAAGCAGGTTGTTCCACTGATTAATTGTTCTAACTGTCAGGAAATTTCTCCTTAGTTCTAGGTTGCTTCTCTCTTTGATTAATTTCCATCCATTGCTTCTTGTCCGGCCTTCAGGTGCTTTGGAGAATAGGTTGACTCCCTCTTCTTTGTGGCAGCCCCTGAGATACTGGGGCACTGCTATCATGTCCCCCCTCATCCTTCTCTTCATTAAACTAGACATAACCAATTCCAGCAACCGTTCTTTACATGTTTTAGCCTCGTCCCCTAATCATCTTTGTTGCTCTTCTCTGTACTCTTTCTAGAGTCTCAACATCTTTTTTACATCGTGGTGACCAAAAGTGGATGCAGTATTCCAAGTGTGGCCTTACCAAGGCATTGTAAAGTGTTATTAACACGTCACGTGATCTTGATTCTATCCCTCTGTTAATGAAGCCTAGCACTGGGTTGGCTTTTTTGGCAGCTGCAGCACACTGCTGGCTCATATTTAAGTAATTGTCCACTAGAACTCCGAGATCCCTCTCACAGTTACTACTACTGAGCAAGGTAGGATCTATTCTGTACCTGTGCATTTGGTTTTTCTTGCCTAAATGTAGAACCTTACTTTTTTCACCATTGAATTTCATTTTGTTAGATAGCGCCCAGTGTTCAAGTCTGTCCAGATCCTCCTGTATCCTAAGCCTGTCTTCTGGAGTGTTGGCTATTCCTGCCAACTTGGTGTTGTCTGCAAATTTGATGAGTTCCCCATCTATCCCCTCATCCAGATCGTTGATGAAGATGTTGAAGAGCACTGGGCCCAGAACAGAGCCCTGGGGCACCCCACTACACACTTCCCTCCATGTAGATGCGGTTCCATTGAGGACCACACGCTGAGTACGGCCGGTCAGCCAGCTACGGATCCATCTGGTGGTGATGTTGTCTAACCCACATTTTTCTATCTTATCAAGTAATAGGTTGTGGTCTACTTTATCAAATACCTTACTGAAGTCCAAGTAAATTATATCCACAGCATTCCTCTGGTCCACTAATTTTTTCATCTGGTCAAAGAATGCAATAAGATTTGTTTGGCATGTTCTGTTTTTGACAAACCCATGTTGGCTTTTAGTAATGACTTTGTTTGCCTCTAGGTGTTCGCTGATTCGTTGCTTGATTATCTTCCAGAATCTTCCCAGGTGTTGAAGTCAGGCTGATAGGTCTGTAGTTTCCTGGATCCATTTTTTCCCCTTTTTTTGAAGATGGGAATTACATCAGCTCTTTTCCAGTCCTCGGGTAGTTCCCCAGTGCTCCAGGATCTTTGAAAAATATAGTTCAGTGGTCCTGAGATCACATCTGTCAGTTCCTTCAGAACCTTGGAGTGTAATCCATCTGGTCCTGGTGATTTGAACTAGTCTAGGGTGGACAAGTGCTCACTTACCATTTTCTTGCCTATCTTAACTTGTGTTTCTAATTTGTTTTTTATGGTACTGTTTTTGATAGGTTGGGCTGTTTTTTCCCTTTGTGTAAAGATGGATGCAAAAAACAAGCAGTTCTGCTTTCTCTCTGTTGCTTGTCACCTTCTTGCCACTTTCTCCCACTAATGGACCAATCGTTTCCTTAACTTTTTTCTTATTTTTTTACATGTTGAAAGAAGCTTTTTTTTGTTATTTTTGACTTTTGTCGCAAGCCTTAGTTCATTTTGAGCTTTAGCTTTCCTCTTCATCTTTGCAGGCTTGGGCTATTTGCTGATATTCTGCCTTAGTTATGTGCCCCTCTTTCCGCTTTTTATACTTGTTCTTTTTATCTTTCAATTTATCAGAGAGTTCTTTATGCAGCCATGCTGGTTTCTTTTGAGAGCTGTTATTTTTCTTCTTTGTTGGTATTATGCTAGATTGGGCTTTTATAAGCTCACTTTTCAAATGCTTCCATTCAGGGAATAAATGGAAAACCAATTCTTTGAAGATGGCTTGGCTGCTGCATGTTTATCTAGGTTCCCATTTACAAAATGATTTCATTCTGAATTCTGGAATAAAGGATTCTTTTTCTTTATGGTGTCAGTAGCCAAATTTGTTTCCTGCTTGAATCATCAGTAATCTAAATTCCAATTTACAAGACAAAATGACTGCAAGTCTTGTTCAGCAGCATCCAGTCAACCTTTTAACTTCTTAAAGCCTGACACCATGCATTAACTCAGTTTGAAAGTGTCTCTTGGACTATAAATCCCCACTATCTCAAAATGACGTAGCAAGAGATATGATCTATTATAAGCAAATAAAGTGTGCATAAATCTATTTGGGCCACTTAGACTGCACTTAAAGATATGGAGATGAGTGAATTAGGTTGCAAACTCAATAAGTAAAGTAAGATGAGCTGCAAATCTATTTCATATAAATATTTTTTTGTAAACTTAGCTATATTCTCCATCAGCCCCCCAATCAGCATCATTCCTTTTCTAATCATCTGAGTTATCAGAATCCTCTATTTAAATTAGGTTAAGCATGAGAAGTAGTTGTTTGAATGACAATGCTAGGAGGCTACTGCTCTCTTTCAAAGTATTCATTTGGATAAAGTGCCTTTTTTAAGAACTAAAGCAATTAATGGCGGCTTAAGTGTAGGATTAAAAAGGTTAGGTTTCTAAGATTGGAAAATTTTAAAACCCGCTAACATCAAAAGAATCTCTACTTATTGTCCATAATACAACTGTAATTGTGAATCATTGTAATTAATAAAAAATGTAAGTTACTCTGGCAGTACATGGCCAGAGTACATGTTACATGTATTTCCATGTATTTAAGGAATGATGCTGATTGGGGGGCTGATGGAGAATATAGCTAAGCTTACAAAAATACATTCCATGTATTTCCATGTATCTCATTGTCTAATTTTAAAACAGTAGCACTTGCAATAATACTGGTGAGTGTCATGTAAAAAATATTGCCCTTAAAATTGCCAAGAGGTTTTTGTTGAAAATGAGTGCACGTTTCTTTCCTTATGAAGGGAGACTCAGTTTATATTGCCGTTTATATTTATTATATGACCTCTTCAGCCCATATATATAGCTTTAAATTAAAAGTATCATATACAAATGTATATATTAATATGTATATCTTATGCCTTATTCTGATAATCTTCCGAAAAGATTTTTTGGACCTTATAACAGAACAATTACACTGTAGAAAAATCTGTTATTGTTCCATGCTGTCTTGATTAAAAATTATGTTGTTTTGATGACAGTGATGCAGAAACTGTTTAATTCCTATTTTTCCCGATTACTTGCTGTAGTGGTGGGCTAATGAAAGATTCTAACACCATCCAGGGATAGCAAGTCTTCAGCCTGTGAAATGTATGCTCTTTACATGAAAATCTAATTGTAGCAGTATACTAGAATTTTTACAGGACAGATTAGAATGGAAATGAATTGAAATAGCTACATGGCACATCATGCATTAATAAGAAATAGTCATAATTCACAATTGGAGCATAATGAAGACAACTGGATGTGCTTTTCTATATATTAAGAGAAAATGATTAGATAGTTCAAACTGAGGGTTGCTCAAAGATACAGTGATACTAAACTAACATGATGTAATAAATGGATAACTTTTTCAATATGATAGAGAAAATCTTAACTCATATGTATACATATAAATATTCTTTTATCCAGAAGAATTGAAGTGATTTTATCTTCTATTGTCTCTGCCTTTTAGCATTTTCATCCCTGGGATGGCTGCTGTCTTTATTTTTTTTTTCCAAATAGTTTGGAATTCTTGCCACAATCATAAACTTATCTTTGCAGATTTTAGTGTACTTTTTTGTAATATCAATCATATTGGCTGATATTTATTGCCTAACAGAGAAGAAGTTGTAATTTTGGCACAAGTAGAGCAACAGGCCAGAACATTGCCAAATTAAGTAAATTATCTGTATTAAGTAAATTATCTGTGTACCAGCAAACTCCATTTCTCTGATTAATGGGTTGCTACTAAGCAATTGCAGTTTGTTATCTGATTTTACAATAGAAGTTGAAATCAAATATGAGGATTTCTATAGTTTCATGATACATTCCTCTAAATATTTTGCCACTGATGTCTGTCCCCAAGTACAATGAATCCAAAATGATGAAATGTACATTATGGCATCATAATACAGCTATATATAAATTTGCATTACAGAATCATAGCATGAATTTCACCATTAACCCCCCCCCTTTATTTCCCCCCCTCATGGATGCCTAGATATTTGCTATCGTTTTCTTCACTAAAGTCAATAAGACTTCTT